TTTTAGACCATTCTGGATAGGAAATTTATCAGACAAATGTTTACCTACACGGACTTTACTATACGTTTCGTTTAAACACATTTTAATCAACCTAACTAGTTTCATGGGTATCCCAAACTCTATCAGAATATTGTACAATACTTCACTCCTAACTGAATCGTAGGCTTTCTTGAAGTCTGTGAATAGCTGATGTACTGTCTCATCGTACTCCCAGTTTTTCTCCAATATCCTACGAATGCAAAAGATCTGATCTTTAGTTGATCAGTTACGTCAAAACCCACACTGATGATCCCCAATAATTTCATCTATATATGGACTTAACCTTGAGAGAAGACTATTGGACAAAATTTTATATGAAGTTGATAGCAGTGATATTCCCCGATAATTACTACAGTCAGTTTTATCACCCTTCTAGTGCACTGGTACAATAATAGAGTCCTTCCACTGATCAGGCAATTTTTCCTTATGCCAAATAGAAGTAATTAGCTTGTGGATCTTAGAACATAATATTTCGCCTCCTGCTTGAGTGAGTTCTGCCGGAATTTGATCACTACCTGGTGATTTATACCGTTTCAATTTTGCAGTAGCACTTTCAAACTCAAAAGGGCTAGGATCAGGTATTGACGGCTCAGCTGTATCGATTTCTGTCTGCTTAACATCACTGAACCTATGTACATTCAATAACTGAGGGAAGTAGTTCCTCCACCTATTAAAAATGTTGTGGGAATCTGCAAGCAGATCACCATTCTCATCCTTCACTAAGTTACTGCTAGGTTGGAAGTCATTTATTCCTCTATATAAGTCTCTAATGTTCTTGTTCTTACTGTTCATTGCAAGTTCATCAATTTTGTCTTTCAGATATTCCCTCTTTTTGTTCCTGAAATGCCTGCGGGTTTCACATCTTATATTCTGATTATCCCCATTTAAATCACTTGGATCCTGTAATGACTGCAATTTGGCGTGCTTTCTTTGATCTAATAATTTTGAGCATCCTTCATCGAACCATAGCTTATGCTTCTTCGGTTCATAATAACCTAGACTCTCTTTGGCAGACATTTTTATATTCTCTCTAATAGTTTCCCAAGTTTTATTAACATCCACCTCAGTGTCCAAGTTTTCCAAAGCCGCAAAACTATTTGAGATCTCAGCATGATACTGCTCTTTACCCTCTACCTGATTTAATTTCTTGAGATTGAACCTCTCCATATGAACTCTGTTGTTTTTTTGCTCACTGCCAGTCTTTCCTTAACCCTTGGGCGCGGTGATTTAAATTCCGCTGCCTTGTCTCTCCGGCGGTAATATATTCAGCCGGCCATTTAAATTTTGCTTGAAAATGGTTTATTCATCATTGTTCTTAAATTATATGAGATAGGAACATGAAACTTTCAATAAAATGATCTTAAAAGGTGGTTTTATAACCTTGCCTTATAATATGAGCGCCCGGTATCTCGGCGATGGAAGCAGTTGGTTTAGAATTAGAGCAGTGTATCGTACGCCTTGAAGCATGAAACTTTCACTAAAATGATCTTAAAAGATGGTTTTATAACCTTGCCTTATAATATGAGCGCCCGGTATCTCGTTCAAAGGCAGCAGGTGGTTCAGAATTGAGCGGAGTATGGTACGCATTGAAGCATTCTACTATACACAGCGCTGACTCACATTCACCACACCAGTACTGCGTATCTCTCAGTTGGCTCTTTTTTCCGTAAACAAAACATCTTCTGTGCGGCCTTGCCTTCTTCCCCGTGGGGGGAATATAAGAAGAAATGTCTCTCCGTGAGTCGTATCGCTAGCCAGATTAGCTGCAGTAAATTCAACCTTTATGTTATCATAACAAGTGTTGGTGCTTCTGCGTTTCATTTTCCATCCATTTTGGCGGCATAAGACGTCGTAGGGGTGACCACAGAATTCATGAAGTTATTCTAAGAACTGGCTGGTATGTAGTGAACGAAAGCAGAGCTTAGCTGGCTCAAAAAAATATTTATGGTCATCCCTCGAAACGACCACCAAGGTCAGTACGATAAAATGGAGTCAACTGGAGCGATAATACATGAAGGAATGAGTTCTTTTCCTTCCCCCACACACACCCATATCATCACAGGGGGTGACCACAGTGTTCTGCCTTAATTTGTGGCGTTTTTCTAAGAACTGGCTGCCATGTACTGTGCGAAATCAATCGATCTTGCAAGAATAAAATTTGGACATCTCTCTTCTAAGAATTACAATTGAGTGTGTTAGTGTGGCCAGCTCAGGGCAATATATTATAAACACAGCACATATCACGTCTCTGCTGTTTATAATTTCATAGGAAAGAAAACACGCCATTCATAACAGTAGAATGGAGAAACCGCTCGCAAGAGCAACAAGAACTTTGCTGCAAGACAGGCATATGTAACGTCTTAGCGCAGCTAAACTCGTGGCTTATTGTACTCTGATCTACTGACAACAGGCCAGTGAAAAAT